CCTAGGTATGAAAAAATTCTTGGTAGAGAGAGCTTCTCTCCGAATGGGGTCCTACGCGGTGCGAATTCCAATATAGTCGAGCTCCAATGCGGGTACCGAATATCGGGCGAGAAACCAAAAAAAATTATAGAACCCGTGTGGTCCTCAAAGTCCCATGTGAAATGTGACTGTGCATTTATGTGATTTTGTTTGTTATTTTTTACTTTTATAGAAAGTAAGATAAACTAAAAGTAACTAGACAAATATCAACTAACTAAAACAAAGAAAAATATTTTAATTTGTAGTTTTCATTTTTAAGTTAAAATAAGGCAAAAAGGTTAAAAATAGTCAAAATTACAATATTAGAACTAAAAGAAACATTTAAGAACAAAAAAGATATGAAATTTCAGGGAGAGTCAAAAATTACAGGTCTACAACTAGCAATATTACACATTCATATATAAAGGAAAAAGCACATGCCAAAATGATTGACAACTGATGATAAAATTCTTTCAAACATGTGAAGATGATTAATTAATTAATTAATTCTTTTAATTCTATCTTTTCATGTTTCATTCAATAGGATTCCAATTCATTAACGGCTCCAATTAATAACAACGTAATAATGCAATAATAATATTATATGTCATGAAATTATAATTTTAGAAATATAATGAATTTAATATTAAAATAATAAAGGTTAAACCTGCAACTTCTGTAAACATTATTCACCCAAAATCCCAGCAAAAACCTAGCGATCATTATTTACCCAAAAGCACCAAATTATCGATCATTATAGGAAGAGAAGCACCCAAATAATACTCAGAACCCTAGAAAAAACCTAGCTCTTACAATTTCAAAGCACTCACTCATATATTCCCAAAGCAAACCCACCAAAGTGCTCCTGTTCTGTGTGCAACTCGAAATGGCCCGGATCCTCTTATTGTTAGATAATTTATACGTATTCAATAAAACTTTTTAAATAAATACAGATTTTAAATAAAAGTTACTTGATTCTGCCGACCTAGTAACCTGTATTCTAGATCCACCTCCGGTATATGTCCGACTTGATCAAAAACCAAGTTTATCCTCTTTCTCAGATAGCATAAAACGGGTATAACCCTTGTTTCCCAAAACTGTGTTTCAGCTCACTGCTAGTAGAACAAGGCAGAAGAAATACTAGCTCACTGTGTTTCAGCACAAGGCAGAAGAAATACACAAGTGGCCAAGCGAAGTCCGGAAACAAAAGAGAGGCAGTACTGGCCACTGATAGAAAACCAAAGAACTCCACACCCAATGAAACATAACGCAGATATGCTTGATAAAACCGAGGATATTTCTTTTCAAATCCATATAGAAACAAGCACATTACCAAAGCGCCTAATGCGAAATGCACGATCCTGGGATGCTCCTGAAACGGAGTATCTTGATCACCGTGATATTTGAGATTCAGTAAGTCAATGAAAAGAGCCAAGAAAGTTGTCAAAACTGTAAGAATCTGAGGTTCCTCCATTGACGAGCTTTCAATTCTATGTAACCTAGCTGCTCCACAACATCACAAAATATAATAAAAAATAACAGATGTAATAACTAAGAGAATGAGGAAAAAACAAAGATAGTATGACTGTATGAGTATAGGAATATTTTTATCCGTTAAAAAAAAGGAGGAGGAGAAATTGATACCTCAGATTGGTACTTGTTCTCCAAAACTTTGTTTCAGCAACACGTTTCTCAGAGATCAAATACGAAATTCTTCCTGATGGTAGAATTGAATTAAGAAGGCACAAGAAATGAAGAAATACACCAAAGAGATTACTGCGACAAACAAGTTTCTTTTCACTAGTATTTTCAACATGGCTTCTTTGCTAAGGTTTATTTTCAAACTTGCTTTGTTTTTTCTTTGCCGAGGGTCTATCGAAAATCCCCTCTATGCCTTACACAAGGTGGGGTGAGGTCTGCATATACACTACCCTTCCCAGACCACACTTGTGGGATTACACTATGTATATCGTTATTGTTGGTTGCATATAAAAGTTGATGGCATAAAATAATTCTACAAATTGCAGGGTCAGCATTAGGATAGTGTTTTGATGAGACTTTTTATGGTTAGAGATTGACAACAACTCTGAGGTGAAATAAGTCATATGGAGTAGAAGTTTGGATAATTATAATTAGCCGAAAGTTTCAAGATGTTTTCCAGAAATAAAAATTTGATATTTGTCCTCGCATGACCTAGTCTTTCTCTATCTTTAATAGATTGAACTGAATTCGCTATTGTCTTTATGAATGCTGTTGTGTTTTAGAAATAGAATGTCCAAAATATGTGATGAATAATTTTAGTGATTCATTGCTTTCTTGCATAATGATTTCAGGTTTGAGACAATCACCTTTAGAAGAAGAAGAGGTAAGGCTTTATATATAGGAAATAAAAGGGAGTTGAATATTAGGGAGCAAGGAAGGTGAGTGAAAATTTCTTGATGGGGCTTTATTGGTTTCCATATGTTTGGGATGCATACTTAGATGTCTAAGTATACATCTAAGTATGTGAAACTGTATTGGTAAAAATAAATATTACACGTGGAGTTAATTATGTGGTTGACATGGCAAGGCACGTGGATCACTAGAAAAGCGACAACTGAAGAGGAGCACTAAAAGAGACACGAGTCGCAGCAGATACGAACAAATCACTCACAAGGTGAAAAGAAATGACTGCTCGAGTCTCTTTAAGTTATATGAAGAGGCACCGGTGGAATGAACTAAGACAGTAAAAAGGGCAGATTCATGGATCTTCAATTAATTAGCATTGATGATTACAAACGTTACAAAATCTTCACGAACAGTTACGATTACCAATTTTAACGTTTCATTAATGTCATTAATGCTCATAATGACTCGGTCTTAAAAAGGGAAAAGACGTTGTACTTGAAGACCTCTATATAAGAGAAAGAAATGTCATTTGTACAGACACGTTCTGATTATTATTGGAATATAATTATTTTCTTGTGCTTTCTATTGATTACTTTGTCATTTCTTATTCTAATTTCCTTTCTTATTTCTGAGAGAATATTGAATTTCTTGATTATCAGCAACTCGAGTACTTCTAAAAATAGGCTTTGACTGAGAATCTAATTCTTTGGTTAAACAAATTGGTTCCGTTACCGGGAATCTAATAATCTTCGCTTACTTTCCAAATCACTCTCTCTCAACTGAATCATGTCGAATGTCAAGGACAACAACCAGCAGGCAGAAGGAACTCCAGTTCTGTCACCTCAAGGAATCCCACGCAATTCAAGAGAAGCATCACCAGAAAGATCCACTACTCATAACAATGACCAACATAGAAATGAACAAACTGTCAAGCAGGATGCTGTGAAGTAGTTAATTATTGAGTACGTGAATGATGCTCTCCAGGCTTTCGTGAGGGGACTACCAGCTGTGCCACCCACACCTCCACCAAACAATACTGCAACTGTGGAGTTCCATTATCAGGGTTGGCTAATTCTGGAAGCGGAGGAACTCCCAACGAGTCACGTGATGGGAGACCAGGTATGCCTAATAATTCTGATTTACAAACTTTAATACTAACCTTGCAAAAACAGGTGAAAGAACAAAATAACCATATTGAGCAAATACCCGGCGTACCACCTGTGATCAAAGGAGTTGATTTCGACAAATATTCACAACAACCATGAAAACCAAGCGCAACTCCATTACCAATTCCCAAAAAGTTCAAAATGCCTGACATCCCGAAATATGATGGAACGACCGATCCACGTGACCACNGGTGACCACATTACTGCATTCACCGCGGGAGTAAAAGTTAATGATTTAACCAAGCAGGAGATTGAATATGTGTTGGTTAAAAAGTTTGGGGAAACACTTATTAAATGAGCGTTAACATGGTACTCTCTTTTACCTGAAAATTCTATTGACTCTTTTGCTGAGCTTGCAGATCTATTTATAAAAGCACACTCGGGTGCACAAAAAGTTTAAAAGAGAATGGAGGATATATTCAAAGTAAAGAAAGGAGATAAAGAATTACTTCGAGAATTCGTAGACAGATTCCAACGTGAAAGAATGTTGCTACCAAGAGTACATGACAATTGGGCAGCCACGGCACTTGCAAGCAATGTAAACGAAAAAAGTTCAGAAGCTACGAGGAGGTTTAAAGAGAGCCTACGTGAATTCCCTGCCACGACATAGAATGATGTCTACAATAGGTACAGTACCAAGCTACGAATCGAAGAAGATATCGTAGCTCAGTCAAGGGTTGAAGAAAACACAGGTTCGAGGCGGTCAGAATCTGAGAAGAGCTCCGGTAAGAATAGGTACGAGCCTTATATGGGACCTTCGAGGCGAGAAGCTCATTCCAAATTCGAAAACGTACGGGCTGACCACAGGTTCGAAAATAGAGATTCAGGTTCGTCATCGTCGAGCTTCAGAAAAGATCAAGGTAAACGTAATAGAGATGCTAATACAAACGCAAAGATTGGGGACTACAATTTTAATGTGAGTACCTCCGAGTTGGTCGCTGTTTTAAGAAGCATGGGGGATAAGGTATGATGGCCTAAAGAGATGAGATCAAATCCAAATTGAAGAAACCCAGACTTTTGGTGCGAGTTCCATAATGATCACGGCCATAGAACATCAGACTGCAGATTACTACAAGGTGAGGTGGAACATTTATTGAAGCAGGGCTATCTGACGGAATTGTTCAGCGAGAAAGACAAACAAGCTTACATAAAAAATATGCAAGAGCCTCCAAAACCTCCGTCTCCAAAGAGAACAGTAAATGTGATAAACAGTGGAGAAGAAGTCAACGGCGTAACCTATACAGCCGCGAGAAAAACAACAAAGTTTACAATAACTCACGGAAAGCGAACTCCCACAATTCTGGATTAATGATTCCTCACAATGATGCACTGGTAATATCTTTACTTATACATGATACTAATGTAAAATGAGTTTTGATTGACCTAGGTAGCTCTTTGAATATCATTCTATTACGAGTGGTGAACGAAATGCTGATGGGCGATCGTGTAGTTCCAAAAGCACGTTTCTTATATGGGTTTGATAACTCAATCGTTATTACAAAGGGCGAGATTGAACTAAGCACAAACGCAGAAGAGGTCATCAAAAAAACAAAATTTCAAGTGATAGACACGGATATGGCTTATAATGTGATTCTTGGGAGGCCGTGGATTCATGATATGGATGTTGTGCCATCCACATTACATCCGGTTATCAAATTCCCTTCAAAATGGGGAATTCAACAGATTCGAGGAGATCAACAAACTTCAAGGAGCATCAATTCGGTGATACAGCCAAGTCAAAAAGATACGAATTCAAGTCCAAAAGATACGAGTGCAAGTCAAAAAGATACGGGTGCAAGTGAGAAAGATTCTGTAAATCCAATTTCAACAGAAATTATATCAAAACAAACAGACGTGGACTCCTCACCAGATGTAATTCAAGAGCCAGAGGAGAACGAAAATATTAAAATAACGATTGAGGAGCTTGAAGCTATTCCACTATTCGAACAATGGCCAAATCGAAGAATTCATATTGAAGCAAGGTTAAACCCAGATAGGAGAGGTGAGTTAATTGAATATTTAAAAGCTAACACGGATTGTTTTGCATGGTCCCATTCATATGTGACAGGTATACCTTCGGAGGTGATAACTCATAAATTAAATGAAGATCCATCATTCATACATGTCAAACAAAAGAAGAGGAAGCAAGGATCATTCAAAAATGAAGTGATCGATGAAGAGGTACATGAACTCTTAAAGATCGATTCAATACGCGAGGTAAAATATCCTAATTGGTTAGCTAAAACTGTGGTAGTTCCGAAAAAGAACGGTAAATGGAGAGTTTGTGTGGATTACACTGACTTAAATAAAGCATGCCTGAAGGATTCACTCCCTTTACCGCATATAGATCAACTGATTGGAGATACCACAAGCCACGAATTATTAAGCTTTCTAGATGCGTATTCTGGTTATAATCAAATAAAAATGGACCCCTTAGACGAAGAAAAAACTTTATTTATTACAAATAGGGGGACTTATTGTTACAAAGTCATGCCTTTTGGCTTGAAAAATGCTGGAGCCACATATCATAGGTTGGTGACCAAGATGTTCCAAGAACACCTGGGGAAGACAATGGAAGTGTACATTGATGATATATTGGTTAAATCTACACAAGCAGAAGATCATTTTCAACATCTTTCAACTACCTTCGAGATCCTTTACAGATATAATATGAAACTGAACCCAGAAAAGTGCACTTTTGGTGTAGCATCAGGTAAGTTTCTAGGTTTTCTCATATCTAATAAAGGAATTAAAGTAAATCCTGCACAAATTAAAGCTATTGAAGAAATACCTAATATACTCACAAGCAAAAAAGGGGTACAAAGATTGACAGGTAGGATTGTAGCTTTGGGAAGATTCATTTCAAGATCTTCAGAGAAAAGCTTTAAATTCTTTTCAGTATTGAAGAAGCAAAATCAGTTTGAATGGACTGAGGAATGCCGACAAGCCCTCAAAGATTTGAAGGCATACTTAACAAATCCTCGCCTACTGTCTAAACCAAGGGATGGAGAAAGACTATTTGTATATCTTGCAGTTGCAGAAGTAGCTGTAAGTGCAGTTTTAGTAAGGGAAGACAAAGGTAAACAATCTCCTATTTATTATATTAGTAAATCTTTATTAGATGCTGAAACTAGATATCTTCATCTAGAGAAACTAGCTTTAGCATTAGTCATGGTAGCTAGGAAATTGAGACCATATTTTCAATGCCATCCTATCTCCATAGTAACTGCATATCCATTAAGGAATATTTTGCATAAACAAGAATTGTCTGGCAAACTAGCCAAGTGGACAATAGAACTAAGTGAATATGACATTATTTATCAACCTAGAACAATAATAAAGTCTCAAATTTTAGTAGATTTCGTCACAGATTTTAATACAAAAATAATTCCTAAAGTAGAAAAGGAATTACAAATTTTTACTAGAGCTAATCCAGGTACGTGGACTTTATTTACTGATGTTTCTTCAAATGTCAAAGGAGCCGGTTTAGGTATTGTCTTAATCCCACCCTCAGGTGAAACTATAAGACAAATAATTAAATGTTACCCTATTACTAACAATGAAGCAGAGTATAAAGCTGTAATTGCGGGTTTGGAACTAGCACGAGAACTTTCCATAGAGCAAATCATGATTAAAAGTGACTCTTAACTGGTAGTCAATTAGATGCAGGGGACTTACACTGCTAGAGAGGCACGAATGCAACAATACTTGAAAAAGGCACGAGAGCTGGTCAGGCAATTTCAATCATGGAAGATCGTGCAAATACCCAGGGAAGAAAACGCAGAAGCAGATACGTTGGTTAACCTTGCTTCAGTTGTAGGAGTAACGAATGAAGAAAATGCTATTGTAATACATTTATTTCATTCAGCACTTGACCAGGATAAACATGAGGTAAGCTTTAATCATTTAACCTTGGATTGGAGAAACGAGATTGTTAATTTTTTGTAGTACGGGATCGTACCTAGAGGCAAGAAAGAATTTCAAGTGCTTCGACGAAAATCTGCTCGTTATTGCCTAATTCGAGATAATTTATATCGAAAAATGTTTGGCGGTCCTTTAGCAAAGTGCCTTGGACCCAATAAAACGGAGTACGTGATGAGGGAAGTACATGAAGGACATTGCGGAAATCACGCATGTGGAAGATCTTTAGTTAAAACACTAATCAGGGCAGGATACTACAGGCCTAAAATGGAAGAAGATGCGGAAAATGTTGTAGCCAAATGTCATAAGTGTCAACGATATGCCAACAATATTCATCGACCTGCAAAGTTATTACATACAGTCATTTTCCCATGGCCATTTATGAAATGGGGAATGGATATAGTAGGGTATTTATCACAAGCTAAAGGAAAGGTGCAGTTCTTATTAGTGTTACAGATTATTTTTCAAAATAGGTAGAGGCAAGAGCTTTCAAACAAGTACGAGAAAAAGAGGTGAAAGACTTCATTTGGCGAAACATTATATGCCGGTTTGGAGTTCCAAAAGATATCGTATGTGATAATAGCCCACAATTTATAGGCTCGAAAATCACGGAGTTCTTTCAAAGTTGGCAAATCAAACGAGTAACCTCTTCACCTTACCATCCCGTGGCAAATGGACAAGTTGAGTCAACAAATAAGATTATCATCAATAATTTGAAGAATAGACTAGAAAAATCAAAAGGGAATTGGCCTGAAGAATTACCAGGAGTGTTATGGGCTTATAGAACCACAACAAAAACAGCCACGGGAGAAACTCCATTTTCGCTTGTGTACGGTTCAGAAGCTTTAATCCCAGTTGAAATTGGAGAACCAAGCACGAGATTCATAATGGCAATGGAAGAGTCGAACGATGAGGAATTAAGAACAAACTTGGACTTACTCGAACAAAGAAGAGAATCAATTTTAATATGGATGGCAGCACAAAAGAAAATCATAGAACGATACTACAACAGAAAGGCTCACCTAAGGTACTTCAAAATTGGGGACTTCGTTCTTAAAAAGGTTTTCCAATCAATGAAAACAACCGGAGCAGAAAAGTTAAATACAAATTGGGAAGGACCCTATAAAGTTCGAGGTATCGCTGGAAAAGGTGCCTGCGAGTTAGAAACCATGGATGGCAAGGTTTTACCCTCAAGTTAGAATGCTGTTCATTTAAAGAAATACTATTTCTGAGCAAAAGAAATACCCACCGTCAGATATATGTTCAATTACGATTTTGGTTTTGTACAGTTAAAATTATACTAATAATTTCAGATGGTAGGCAAAAATCTAGCCCACACCAAATGATGATATTAGACCTGAAAGATACGCGGAAGTAACATTATTTTCGGTCTAGGGTTTCAACCTTTCTGATGGGAATATAAAGGGTTAAGCAGTCATCATCTAAATTATATATACCTCCGAGTCTCGTATGTTTTTACTTTTCAGGAAATGGACCACATGGAAGGAATAATCAAGTGCTCGAGATTTTATACTTCAAAGATCAAACACTTGGGGGACTATATANAAATTTTTTAAAATCTGTTGTAAAGAAAACAGTTACAAAAGAGTTATAGATGATACTTGAATACATGTAAAGTATTATACAATTTGAAAGTTCGAAAGATACAAAACTTCCTCAATGTTATTCAAAGAAACGTGTGTGTTCCTATTTCTTCTTTCGTATGTTTACACCATTATGAAGTTGAGACGTCTTCTTCATTAAGTGTCGTTTATAAAAGGGCCCTCTTTTATAAACCGTGCTTGTTTTAAAAAGTCACGAAGTACTGAAGCATTTTTAATGCATAACAAAAGACTAGTACAGAAACTCGGAATAAAATATCATAGAAGTTGAACAAAAACTTAGAAGATGATATTATAATAACTTGGTTAAAACTAAGTATGAACTTATTTCCAACCTAATTGTCTTATACAAAAAAACCCAAAATGGACTAGGGGTAAGATTTTTCAAAACATTAACCCCAAATGGGACCAGGGGTAAATCTCCAAATGTTCCACCAAAAAAACAAAGAAATATTTCAAACTTTTTAACTTTCACTGTGGGGCAGAATCTGAACCGGTAGGATGAAGAGTGGCATCATCACCAGAAAGAAGAGCAACTTGAGCAGGAGAAGGTTGAACAATAGCCTCACCAGGAGCGATTTCATCACCCTCGAGAATGCCAATCTCAGGTGAAGAAAAGCTTTGACTCTGCTGGGTCTTTTAAATCGTCTATGTAGTCTTTGCAATCTCAGCATCTAAGTCAAAGCTTTCCCAGCTTACTTCTATTAACATTTCGAGGTGAGTATTCAAAAAAGCCCAGTTAACATCAACAACGGCTTTATCTTCAAGGGTCTCATAATCTTTTTCCCACTTCTTAACCTCAGCTCTTAATTCATCCTTCTCATTCAAGGCAGCATCATAAGAAGCCTGTAGGGGGGCAAGAGATCTCTCTAAAAACTGAACTTGTCCGAGGATGCACGAAGATCTTCTTGAGTTTGCGTGAGCATTTGAACAAGCTCCCAAGAGTAAGCTTCATTTTGGTTTAGAAAATCCTTTAAGCTCCTAATATCTTCAGAAGCCTTGGAAAGCTGCTCAGCAAATGAAGAGTCGAGAAGATTCTTGTCTTTGCCCGCCTGATTGGATGAGGCTTTCTCAACCGCTAGTTCTGCTGCCATAACCTTTATTTGTTGCTCTAAGGTGCACTTTTCTTCCTCTAAAACCCCTATCTCAAGTTGAAACTCCTCGAACTATTCTTTCCAGTTGTCCACCTCAGTGTGATAATCATTCATCAACTGCTATGTGTGGATGATCCTTTTCATCATCTCTGTTCCGATGAGATTGATCTACGCAATGAAAAGAGGAATGTGATACCAGTAAAAGAGAAATCACGTAAAATAAAAAGACAAGTTACCTTTAAAGACGAATGCACAATATCATTCATCCACGTTAGAAAACTGTGACTTTCCAGTTTTGACTTCTCAACTGGGCCAATCAGTGGTTTCAGCCATACATCAGCTTGGCCAGATTTCTTCAAAAGATTACCATCTTCAAGAATCTCGATGGTAACTTATTTCATTGCTCTACTGTTACTGGAGGAACCAACTTTAACATGGGAAGTTGTAACAGTAGGAGCAGTCAAGGAAGTCAAAATAGCCACGGGCGGAACAGTAGAAGCAGCAGCAGGAACGGGTAACTGAGGTTCAATCGGAGCAGAGGCATGAAAAGTGGCAAGAGGCATTTCCTCAGATATAAAGACAAAGCTTTCTTCATCAAACCCACGAGAAAAGAGTTGTTCAGTAGAGTCATGGGGTGCAGCAGGCGTCTCTTCATATGAACTCACTAAGGTAGCATTTTCAGGCTCAGACATGGGAACAGAACTAGGAGGGGGAGTAGCTTCATCATCTGAAATGACCCGTCTCCTAGCCTATGGCTTATGAACCAACGAGCCTTCGTCCCGTTCTTCTTCTTCCTCAGAGTTTTGTGGTCTATCAGCTTTTCTTTTTGACGAAGAACTCAAGATTATCTCTTGAGCCTTTGATAGAGAGAGCCTCAAAGCAGTGATTGAAGCAGCACTCACACCTCGAATGGGAAACCCTAACAAAGAAAGGGGTTAATAAGTTCCAAAATAAACATGGAAGTAAGGAAGAAAGTGAAAGAGAAAGTTACCATGAGTCTTAACTTTCCATCCAAATTTGTTTAAAAGGTATTTCCAGGACCTTTCTTCCATAGGAGCAACGGTTAACAATTTCTCTACCCAACCACGTAGATCAAGAATCTCCTCAACAGTTCCCATGGTTGCTGAAAAAGAAAAGTAAAACAATTACGAGATTACAAGTTCTTCACAAAAAAAAAAAGAGAAATAAAAGATTGAAAGAAAGACTTACGTGCAAAGTTCCACTTCTTAGGGAAGGGCATGTTCTCTTCACCTACTAACCCACTTATAGGAGCAGCAAAAAATTGGGCATACCAGCCGCGATCTTTGTCGTTTTTAGGGCTAACCAAAACCCTCTTACTCCTCGCCACGAGAGTAAAAATCCCATGACGAAATACTTTGGGAGAGTAAAGATGAATCAGATGGTAAAAGGTGAAGGGTAAAGAAGCTAAATTTGCCAAGTATCCAAGTCATGCCACAGCCCTCCATACAATAGGACCAATCTGTCTTAAACACACATCGAAGAAACGACAAAACTCAATGATAACTGGATCAATAGGTGGCCTAAAACCTAATGTGAAGGGATACGTATACACAAAAGAAAAACCATCTTTAAAGGAAGCGATCCTTTGATTTTCATGGGGGACCAGAATTGAGAAGTCAAATTTCTAATAGCAATCTCTCCACACAATAGAAACCAAACCCTCAGTAATCTAGGAAGGGTAAACATCAGCACGATCGTGAGAAGTCATGGAAGTGACCTGATTTTTAATTAATTCTCTATCAGTGACAAAGGAAAGTTCAGCGGAAATAATCTCGTCGACAGTAGGTTCACAAAGTGGTTCACTAGAATCCGTACTTCTAGCGGAAGATCTATGTGAAGAAGAAGCCCTAGTTGTAGAAGATGATGGAGGAGTAATACTGGGTTGAGAAGGAGAACCACGTACAGACACTGACCCTAAACTACGTAACCTACCACCTCTCCTATTCCTGATAGGAGCGGAAGAAGGGGAAAGTTCATCCACTATGACGACTTTTCGAGGATCAAGATTTAAAGAAGACATAGTTGTATGGGGAAGTAGAAAGTAATGAAGAACAAGAGTAAGTTGTGAATAAATAACACTACAGAAAAGTTTTCGTAAAAGCAAAGACAAAGGATGTATTTATATGTAGAAGCAATCGTCATGTAAAGAGGGTAATGATGGAAACGTCATTATGAAAACAGTCACTTCGTGACTGATGCAGCCGCAAAAGAGCTCTAAAACCCGCTGAAGAGTTGCAGAACCAATCGATGACTGCCATGTGTCACATGCATTAAATGAAAGTGACATACGACGCATTGGATCAGAGGAAGATGCAATGATACGTGAGAAACGGCGGCAAAAAATTCCCTCCATAAATATGATCCACTTCCCAAATATTCAATTGCTGAATAATTGGTAAGTGGGGGAACTATCTGTATTGGTAAAAATAAATGTTACACGTGGAGTTAATTATGTGATTGACATGGCAAGGCACGTGGATCACTAGAAAAGCAACAGCTAGAGAGGAGCACTAAAACAGACACGAGTCGTAGTAGATACGAACAAATCACCCACGAGGTGAAAAGAAATGGTTGCTCGAGTCTCTTTAAGTTATATGAAGAGGCACCGGTGGAATGAACCAAGACAGTAAAAAGGGCAGATTCATGGATCTTCAATTAATGAGCGTGGATGATTACAAACGTTACAGAATCTTCACGAACAGTTACGATTACCAATTATAATATTTCATTAATGTCATTAATGCTCATAATGACTCGGTCTTAAAAGAGAAAAGACGCTGTACTTGAATACCTCTATATAAGAGAAAGAAATGTCATTTGTACAGACACGTTCTGATTATTATTGGAATATAATTATTTTCTTGTGCTTTCTAATTACTTTGACATTTCTTATTCTAATTTCCTTTCTTATTTCTGAGAAATATTGAATTTCTTGATTATCATTAACCTGAGTATTTCTAAAAATAGGCTTTGACTGAGAATCTAATTCTTTGGTTAAACAAAAACCGTTCGTTTGACTAAACTCAAACGAAGCACTTTCATAAACTTCCAGCACCTTTCCTCGACTAAAGCACCCATCAAACTTCTTATTATCTGGGTACTTGTTGCCTTGTTATATGCATTTGGTTAAATTTTTACTCCCTCTGTTTCAATTTAGATGAGCTACTTTGATTCGGCACGGAGTTTAAGAAAAAAGAATAAAACTTTTGAAACTTGTGGTCTTAGAAGTTTAAGGGGTAAAAACTTTGTAACATTTGTGTGGTTATAAAAGTTTCTCATTAAGGGTAAAATGAGTAAAATGAAGAGTTTAAAGTTGAATTATTTTCAAATTTAGAAATGTGTCATTTATTTTGGAACGGACTAAAAAGGAAAGTACCTCATCTAATTTGAAATGGAGGGAGTAATATAATTACACACACTTTTTGTCAAGTTCAAAGGGTGATTAAGCCCCCAAATGTGATG